TGGTGTTCGAACCACTAACTTTTTGACATTTCTTTTTTTTGAAATTGAGAAAAATTCTTATTTTTCAAAAAATCTACCTAGATCTGAGATCTCTAATGATCAGAAAAATACGAAAAATATAGGAGACGACGTATTTTTTTCTCTGGGGATTCTAAAAATAAAAAAATAGAAAAAGAAGAAAATTTTGATTCATACAGACAGAAAAGCTGAGCAATTAGATTATAAATGAAAAGTGAGAGAGAAGAAGAAGGATGGCGGATTACTCATAGTTGGGAAAATTCGATTTTCATTCGATTTTCTGAACTTTTTGAAATTGCAAAAAAAGTTTTTTTTTTTAAATTAAAATTTTTTTCAAAACACAAAATTTTCTGGATTTTCGTCTGAAATAGTCAGAAAAAAACGTCACTTTCAGCTTCTCAAACACCAATCCAATTTCTATTTCTTTCCCATTTTTTTGGCTTCTTTTATGAATTTTTGAGAAGAAGAAGGAAGCCTGAAATTTGGAATTTCAAAGATCTAGATTTCGCTTTTTTCTTGAATTTTCTGAATTTTTAAACATTTTTAGACTATTTTACAGTTTCAAAACTATTAAAAGTTGTGCAACTTATTAGAAAAATGTTGCAAATTTAAATATCCATAATTCCCGCCAAAATTTGAAATTTTGAAGTTTTCCTACTAGGAACGTTGGTTTTGGCTGGAAAAATTGGAAAGGGAATTCTTTTTTAGGTTTTTTTTAGCAAAATTTTGAAAACTTAATTTTTTTTCTCAGCCTAACTCCAAATCTTGAAGTTATTTAGAACTTAAAATACCGTAAACACTCTAATAGAACGCCACCCGAATCGTTAAATTCGAGCCCATTTATCTCATTTTTGGTGAAAGATATCAGAAACTGATAAAACATTACTAATATCATGATAAACATTTTATCAGTTGACAACTTTTTGATATCTTTCAAAAAAAGTGAGATATATAGGCTCAAAGCGGACGATCCGAGTGGCGTTCTATTAGCGTGTTAACAGTATTCGAACTTTCAAAAAACTCGAAATCCCGCCAAAACTGAAAATTTCAGAATTCATAACTTTAGATCCAAAAAAGGCCATTTGAAAAATTATCTGGCATTTTCCAGAAAATCATTGGAATTGAAAAATTTTCTTTTTTCAGCCGATTTCCAAATTCAGCCGATTTCCAAGTTTTTCAGCCGATTTCCAAATTTTGAGGGTTTTTAATTGAAAATTTTAAATTTCAAATTTTAGAATTTCCAGCTTTTTCTGGAAATCTCCTTCAATTTAATGATTTTTGGAACTTCAAAAAATCGAATTTTCACAAAAAATTAGTTCCAAAAATTCGAGAATTTAGGTCATTTGTTGGTCATTTGTTAAACTAGTGATTTTCGGATTTTTTTTATTTTAGCAAAAAACCGAAATTTTGAAATTTTTGAATTCCCGCCAAAACTGGAAATTTCTAATTTGTAATTTCAGTTTCAAAAAAAGAGAAATTCATATACCGTAATTATTAGATAATTATTAGGTAATTATGTATTAGAAGGGCCCTTTGATAGAAGGGTCCCAGGGTGATTTTCCAATTTTTATAAAATAAAATTTCGAATTTGAGTTTTTCAAAATTATCTTTTCAGCTTTTTGGAATTTGTTAAAATTTTCATTAACCAAATTACAATCCAAAAGTACAGTACCGGACAAAAAGAAATCAACTTTTAGTTTTTCGAGAGTATCTCAAAAACTATGAGAGCTAGGACTCTGAAATTTTGTATGTATGTTTTTGAAAGGCTCAGAAATATTCCAGAAAAATATCAAGTCCGCAGACACCATATCAGACGCGCAATTGCTAAAAAAAATCATATTTTCGAATTTTTCAGTTTTTCAGAGTTTTCACTTTTTTTTTGTTTTTTTTTTTCAATTTTTTTTTCGGTTTGTTTGTAATGAGTTTTGTTCCTATAGATGGGTAGAAAACATAACAACAAAACGTCTACTTTTTAACTCTTTCATCATTTCCATAAAACTGAAAAAAATATTTTCTTCATTAGTTTTTATAATTTTTTCAAAGCTGTTGCATTCTATGCATACTTCCATTAGTTTTATATTTGATCTACCAATCTGTCCTAGTCTCTCCCAGCCTTCTCTACTTTTCCCCCTCTATTCTCGTACATCTTTAGTACCTGAATAAATTTGTATTCTATAACTCTGTTCGTATTCCTTGAGCCGGCCAGAATGCCGGATCCTAATGACGTAACAAAAACAATTAAAAATAATAAATAGCTAGAAAAAAAAATGAATAATGATGATGAATTCCAAAGAGAGATAAACGAGCAAAAAAAGAGGGAAAATTTAATTATGAGCAACAGAAAACAGGGAACCTAAAAAACAAGGGAAAAGGGAGAGGAAGATAAAAATAGCCCATAAAAATGGGGGAAATGGGGTCTGGAAAAATAATGAAAAAAAAACGTGGCGAAATAAAAAATTGGACCTTTCTAGAGATAGAAGATAGAGAAAATAATCAATAAAACCGAAAAGAGCAGGTGGTGTAAATGTAGTAGTATGATTGACATATAAGTGACAGGTGATGACGGATATCTCTCTTTTTGTTTCTTTATTTTAGGGGTCGTTTTTACTAAAATTGAAAAATGTTCTTAATATTTTTTGACGTCTTCTTTTTTGTTAATCCTTGCTCCATGGAGTACCAGAAGAAGAAGATGAATCACCCATCATTGTTTTGGTTATTTTAGTGAACAATTCTACTGCAAAAGTAACATTAAAGGCTCAGACATTGCGCAAAGCATCCATCTTCTGGCGAAAGGCGGAACGTTGGGTTACAGCCTTATTCAGGCCACGTCCAGCACAAACGCCTCGGCCGCTGCACAAGATTTCGATCATCGCCCGGGAGTCGAACCAACAACCCCCGCCCACTTGTGGTGTGGGAAGCGTGCGCCTTACCACTACACCACGCGGGCGCAAGTAGAATAAGAGCGGGCAAGGTGTATATAAAAGAGGGGGGAAATGGGAGCGAGAGGGGTGGGGAATTGCGCGAACTCTGGATTACTGTAACGTTCATAACTCTGTTTAGAATAGAGATTTTGAGCTAGAATAGAAAGGAAAGCGTAGAACTTGACTAGCTCTACAAAATGATACTAAACTTGACTATTCTGGAAATATATGTGCTTTCAAAAGCCGGGTTGAAAAATGGAAAGGAAAATTTCACGACTATTTGAAGATATACGAGGCCTTGTTATTAGGTTATCAAAAAAAAATCAAAAAATTAAAAAATATATCATCTATGCTACGAACGTTTTTTTTCAGTTTAGTTTGGAACCTTCCAATGAAGTCGTTTGTCTTCTTGCTTTTGGCGATTTGTGGCTTCTGATAGTGTGATTGCCAACAAAGAGGAGTACCTGAAGGAATTGAATGAGGAGCGGAGAATTTATGCGAAGAAAGCTCGTATCCCGAATATGTATAAGCTGGTGAGCTATAGGGATTTTTAGGGTTTTCAAGGGAAGATTAAGGATGGTTAACAGCTGAATTACGGTAGCGCAAGTTGAGCCACCGCCGCGCAGTGTGAACACAAACTTTAACTGAATGTATCTAGGTCCCTGTAAGAGGTATCAAAAAGTTGTCAACTAACAAAATGTTATTGATATCATGATAAACATTTTGTTGGTTAATTACTTTTTGATATCTTCAAAAAGAAGCGAGATAAATCGTATCAAAGTCTAGCTACGATGGCGCAAGTTGCGCCGCCGACCTATGTCATGCGCTGTGGGAACACAAACTTTAACTACATGTATCTCGGTTCCTGTGAAAGATATCAAAGAGTTGTCAACTAACAAAATGTTACCGATAATATGATAAACATTTTACTAATTAACCACTTTTTGATATCTTTTACAGAAACCGAGATAGGCTCAGTCAAAGTTAAGAGAATCTTTTCTATTGAGCTGTACGGTTATCAAATTTGCGGGTCCCAAATTGGGATTTCGACAAAAAGAGGTTTATAAAAAAGTGTCACATATAAAGCTCAAAAGTTTCAAAAATTAACAGTTTCAAATTCCAGATTTAACGAAAAGCCTGATTATGGTTCTACTGCTTGTCCGCGATCTAGACTAGAATACACCTTCAACTTAAAAAATTTTAAATTTAACTTATCTCGGTTCCTGTAAAAGATATCGAAAAATTATCAACTAATAAAATGTCACTGATATTATGATAAACAGTTCACTAGCTGACAACTTTTTGATATCTCTCGCAAGGTCCGAGATAAATAATGTCAAAGTCTAGCTACGGAGGCGCAAGTTGCGCCGCCGACCAATTTCACGCCCTGTGTGAGCACAAACTTTAAGCAGATGTATCTCGGTTTCTGTGAGAAATATCAAAAATTTGTCAACTGATAAAATGTTACGGATATTATGATAAACATTTTGTTAGTTAAAAAACTCAAATCAGTGTAGCGAATAGTACTGAGAATTTGAATTTTGATACGATGTGTTTTATGGGACCTGAGTGAGTGACTTTGACATGTCAATTTTGAACAGAGTTTGGGCTTTTTTGAAAAAAAATATTTCAGCAATTTTTTTGAAACATTTTGGTTGAGTTATATTTTCAGAGGCACTGGAATTTCATGGGACATGGAGCTCGGAGAACCTGGATCCGTCTGTGCTCCGGGATTTGAAAATGATGATGGATTGTGTTCCCCTATCCAGAAAGCTCCAGAATCTTCTAGAAAATCCTCAAGACTAGAATCCGCTGATTCTGGTCCAGCTGAAAGCCAAAATTCCAATAAACCAACTGATAATGCTTCGTATGGAGCTCAAATTGGGCTCATTTTTCTAATAATCTCTTCGATGAAATTTTGGAATCAAAATTAATGTTTCATAGTGTGGTTGTAATAAAGAATGAACGCTTTTATTTGGTTTGAAAAGTAAGAAAATATTGATTTACAGACAAAGGGAAATTCAGATGGTCCAGAAAAGTTGTGTTGGTCTTTAATTGGAATCACTTGGATGGGAAGAACTGAAAAATGAAAATTAGGCTTTTTTTTATTTTATACTTTTCAAATTTTCACAATTTCAAATTCTCAATAAATTGGTAATTTTTTTTCAATTTTCTGATCGATGGCATTTTATACAATGTTTTTATAAATAATTTTTTTTGAAACATCCTATTTTTAATTTTTCTAATACATTTCTTTAATTTCAAATCCTTTGAGTTTGTAATATTTCGAAAAAATTTTACTTTTTCAAAATTTTAATATTTTTGGCAATTTTCTCATTTTTCAATAGGCGTTTGATGAAATTTAAAAACAAATTTGATTTTCAGAATTTCAAAAAGTTTAAATTTAAATTTTCAATTCAAACCTTTTCAATATATTGGCTGAAACTCAATTTTGAGGATTTTTCGAAAAAAAGGAAAATTGGATTTTTCAAAAATATGTATTTTTTTCAATTTCAAAATTTCAATATTTTTGTCTTCAATGAGTAGTTCAGAATACACCCTCTCCCACAGAACAATTCCGAATTGCAAAACTAAGTTTTGATCTACAGAAAAAAAGTTTGGCGCGATCACAATTGCAGGTCTAAAACCATAATTTCAGAATTTTTTATCTGATTTTGTGGAGTTCCAAGATGATTCAAATAATTCTTAAAAAATTAATTAGTGGTTATAGATTCATGTATGGTCGTTTTCCGGAAGAAAAAAATGTCAAAAATGGTCATTTTGAAAGTTTTTTACAGAAAAAATCTATCTCCTCTTTCAGTTTTTGACATTTCTAGGAGTTCTATAGCTCAAATAAACCGCATTTATTTGCTCTACATTTTCTATAGACGAATTTTTAATTCGTCTGATAAAACTTTTTTTATAATCAAAAAACCTCACGAAATTGCACAAAATAGCATTTTGCGTT